TTCGTTTACGATGTGCCTTTTGGCTCCGCACTCTTCGAATTCTTGGAGGAGGCTAAATTCGCTAGATCATCATAAATCAAAACAATCAAAAAGAATCAAACCAATCCAAGGTCATGGTGCGCTGAGGTTCTGGGTCTTTTTTAGCAAGCCGCTCTTCGGTTCAAACGTCATGGTCTCCGTGGCCAAGGGCATTGAGGCGGGGGTGCCCGGAACAGAACGCTGGAACCTTGGAACCCTGGATCCTACTGTTGGACAATAGCAAACAGCGTTCAACTGTTCCCAAGATGTCCCCTGATCTGGTCTCAGGCGCCCATGAAGCTGATGCTTCCGAGAGACTTTGGAGGGCGTGGAGATTTCAAGTGCCTGGGTGAAATGTAGCTTCTGGGATGCCCCAGATACTTCAAGAAGGATGGCTTCTCAAGCTGGACCATATCCATTGAAAACGTTGAAACAGAGCAAAAACTGACAGGGTGCGACAGGGTGCGATTCAGGTTTAGTATGCTTGGCTTGGGAGATATTGCTGTTCCGGGCCTCTTTTGTGCCCTGCTTGCGAAGTGGGATGCGGTGCCCACCTTAGCAGAGTTGCAGGGCTCGTTTTGGTGTGTTTTGCCGGTCCTGCAGTGCGGCTCGATGCCAGGTGAAAATGGCTGAAGGCTCCAGCCACGGTTTTACCTATTTGAACATCATCCTCTTGATGTACATCTTGAGCTTGGTCACCACCATTGCAGGGCCCCCAGGGCCACTTTTCACCCAAGACCTGTTCCATTCATCATTTCAATACATGTCATGTGAATCATGATCCTTGGTGGCAGTGATCATCAGTGATCATCAGTGATCATCAGTGATCATCAGTGATCTCCAGGCAGTCATGGTGGTCTTCAACCACGCGCAGCCGGCCTTGCTGTACATTTGCCCCTATCTGCTGATCGGCTCCGTGGCCGTGGCGTTTCGTCGTGGTGAACTTTCAGAGCTCTTGGCCTTCAGCGTGCCGCAGGGTGAAGTGCCTGGGCCACACAAAAGTCGTGCAGCAGGGAGTTTGATGTCAATTTGATGTCAATTTGATGTCAATTTGATGCGGATGAACGGAAGTAAACCCACAAACAATAACTCTTTCGACCATGTTGACTTGCGAGTCACTTGTGCCTTGCCTATTTGTTGGCGGGATGCAATGGATTGAAAGTAAGAAAAGAGCCTACTCTTTCCATCTCCGTGCCATTAACAATTCTTACAGCTTCGTTTAACTATATATATATTCTTCTGGACTCGAGGTCTTGTCTTTAGTTTTTGTGTGATCCTGCCGTTTCTCCGAGGAGAGCTCCAAGAAAGCGAGTGGCGAGGTTGATAGCCACAAGAAAAGCACATGACTGGAACAAAAGAGCTGAGAGATGGTCTAAGACACACGGCCAACATCATTTGGATGACCATTTCATCCATTTCAGAGCTCGTGGACTGGAAGTCACAAGCGCTGCCCCAAAGCCTGGGCTTCGAGGGCCGGCAAGATGGACGGCAACGAGGGGAGGGATTCGAGCCTTTGAGATGCGGAAAAAGATCGAACAAATCCCCGCACAAACAGCTTCAATATCTGGGTAATTGGATCTTGCAACTAGCAGCTGTCACATCACCACAGTTGATCATGCTACTGCAATATATAGAAACATGACATGTATATATGTATGTGTATATATATATTATACAGTGTATTTGCACTTGGAAGGAAAAGGCAGATTGATGGCCCTGGCGGCTTTCCAGAGGCTGGGATTGGTGTGTGCCACACCGAAAATTTAGGTCACTGTTCCTTGCAACTCAAGAGGCTAGGTGTCGCAGACCAGTCTTTGTGAAGACCAACGAAGATTCAAAGACGCTCAGCACCCGTCATGAGAAGCATCGAAAGGATTTTAAGGGTGGTGATATGTTGTGATCCATTCACAGGCTGGGTGGTAAGACTCAGCAATGAAAAATTGGCCAGCACGCAGCCTGATTTCTTTTCCAAGGATCCTGTAGATCCAGCTTTCGCGCCAAAGTTGCGTTGGTTAAAAGCGTTGGCTCCAAAAACATTGCGCCATGGATGACCTCAGTGACTGCAGTGTGTCTGTGCGGATGATGTCCGGAGAGGTCATGACATTTTCGGTCGGAAGCCTCTTGGAGCTCCAAGTCATGGTGGCGGAGCGCACCAAAGTTTCGGTGGAGTTCCTGCAGCTGCTTCAAGGCCAACAGGTTCTGTGTGATGTCGATCTGAAGTCACTGAAGTCCTTGGGAAATGGTGGTGAAATTGCTGAGCTTTCCTGCATCATCTGTCCCAGTGTGCCCTTGATCATCAAGCTGCTGAAGAAGGAGGACTTCCACTTCCGCGGCCTCAACGAGACGGCCACGAAGACTCCTCAGGGCATCACTGGCTGCAACCTACTGCATGCCAGCGTGCTGGTGGGAAGGCTGGAGCTAGTGCGCTTCCTGCTGGCGGAAGAAGACTTCAATGGCATCAACAACTTTTTAGGCCTGGGGTCTCAAAGCGGAGCCAATATCTAGTTACTAGTTTGTTTGTATCATTCTGTATCTATCAAATCTTATATATTTCATTATATAATTTATATTACTATGACTATATATTACTCATCTTCTTACCGATGTAGAACATGCCGATGATACCAAAAATGGCTCGCCCACACGCTCCACGGGGCAAACCTTACCCCCCATTCTATACACATTTCACTATTGATGAATGAAAAAGTTTCTCCACTAGCATGAAGAACTGAAGAACTGATATAATACGACCACACAATTTTATCTCCTTCGACCGATTGTATAAGACACATTAAGACACGGATTTATGGACCTTGCTTACCCAAAAGTGAAATACGCAACATGCTACGGAATGATGCTGCTGATGCGTGTTTCACTCTTCGAACTGCATATCGTTTGGGAAAAAGTGCTCATTTTATTTCATCTACTCTAATCACTAATCTTATCAAAGCTTGTCTAATCTTGTCCACACTCATTTGGTCAAATCCTGCGCAATCTAATCTTGGCGGATCTCCTCATAGTCTATGCCCTCGGAACCCTGCAGGCCGTAGCGGCTACAATGCCCTGCATTTGGCGGCCAAGGATGGCCACAGCGCTATTTGTCAGGAGCTGCTGGATTGTGAGCGTTTTCGAGCGGCCAATGCCAGCACAACATGTGAGGGAACGGCTCTGCACGTCGCAGCACAGTATGGGAACATTCAGGCGCGGGAATGCCAAGTGCGATAAGAATGATCGGCTGGAAGCTTGACGTTTTCTGGACCTCTTACCTTCCTAAACGCACACGTTCGCTGCAGCTTAACAGCCCACTGCATCCCAGTTCATGGCAACTCCAACTGGTACTCCGTAACTGTCATGATTGTCAGTTGCTCACCATTTTCCTTGGTGAAAATAGCTGTAACATACCGCTGCAATCCGCTGCATACCTCCACTGTAGCTCCATTTGCTTCATTTGCTCTTGTTGGTTTCCTGCTTCTTCGACTCCACCGTGTCTTCCCCAGTGTCTGCCTCCTTCCCCATATCCCCAGGTCCTGACCCTTCTGCTGGATTCCGAGCACTTCACCGCCATCAACGAGGCCATGCAGGTGCCATCCTACCACCAGGACTGCCGAGGCAGGTGTGGCCAGACAGCGCTGCACGTGGCCGCAGTGCATGGCCAGCAGCAGGCAGCTCAAGTGCTGTTGGATCATCCTCGCTTTACTCAGGCTTTGGATGGCTTTGGGCTGCTGTTTTGCTGCTTTTTTTTCTTGGTACCATTGGTACCTATCTTTTTTTCATCACTATTCCGATGACAATTACAATAACGTGCGTTTTTTTTCCTCTTTTTTTTTTTGTTGGGAGAGTGGGAAGATGCTAAGAACAGAGAGGTGGCATTGGCATAGTTGACTCTTGGGATTGCGGAATCATTAGGAAGAATTGGATAGAATTGGTAGATTTGCATGCTCGGAAGATACATATAACTGAGCAATGTTCCAAACCTCTGATTGATAATTATATCGAGTGACAGTTATCCAATATATTATATATTTGTATATATTTGGGATTGCCACAATCCATATGGGGGAATCCTGTTGAAGTAGCCAACTAGTACTAGTAAGTATAAAGGGTAAACGGAGGGTTTTAACATGTTTTAACACAGTTAACAACAAACCTTTCGTGTTTCATTTCTGTGGCAGTTGGCCAAGTTGGCCAAGACCACACACTTCACAGGTCGGTGCCGTGACCAAGACCTTCAAAGATGCCGCCGCCGCGGCGGATGCTGCGGGTCACCCGTCCTTGGGTCGATTCATCCGGGACCACCCCAAGGTTCGACAGTTTCGCCGCATGCCAAATGGCGCAGCCGGCTACGGTGGGTTGATCCGGAGACAATTCGAGAGGAGCATAGGGTGATGCGGCGATGCGTGCGCTGGTGGAGAGGAATGCTGCAGCTGGAAAGGGGAAAAGGTCGTGGCACTCTGCCGTGGTTGATCTTGCTGATAGTTGATGGTTTTATCATATGAAGAGATGTTCCATATATTCCCTTCCTCCTTGTTGGTCGCTTAGTAAGGGCAATTCCGCATTGAACAGCTGTCTTGATCATGTTTTGTCTGCAGGGCGGCCTCATCTCTGGTCAAGGTCTGGTGCTCATGTGGACATGACCCCGATGCCATGTGGATGCCACGGGGTCCGAGGCAACTCGGCGGGAATTCACCGCTTCGCGCTTCTGCCTCAGGTTGATGGAACCGATCCACAACCGATCCATTGTGTTGGAAAATATATGACTCAGATGGGTGATAGGGTCTGATGGGGGATCCTCTGCCTTGCTGGTCGTTTCAGCGTGTTTCAGCAAGCTGATTTTCGTTGATTCACTTTGCTCCTCTGCACGGTAGCCCAGAGGCCTGGGAATCCATACCTGGTGACGGTGATGCCGCTGTTGGTCAACATGGCCGCGAGCCCAAGCTGAACTGAGACTGACGTCGTGGGCAGCAAACAACAGTGCTGGTGCGGATGACATGAGATGCTTGAAGCATCGCAAAGCTATGTAGCACCAGCCAGCGCGGACTTAAGTCGCAAACCACAGAACTGGTGGGGGTCTATATGAATCGTATTGAATCGTTGACGGAAGGAGACATTGGACTCAGGCATGCAGCCCAGCACCAGAGAAGAATGAGAAGTCCAAACATGTCATCACCCAGGAGAGTTGACCTCTGATAGGGAGACTAGATGAGACTAGGCTGGGTTCTGGAAAATCATTCTGATCATTCTGCAGATTTCTGCATGTAGCAATATGTAGCAATCATCACTGAGAGCTGTGAGGACTCCTGGCGCTTAGTGAAGATTGAGCCTGAGGTTCAGGCGATGGAGTCGAAGGGCGTTGCAAAAGTGCTGCCATATTCCAGCGCTAGTGCACCAGCTTTTGCCTGGCACCTCATTTGTTTGGTCTATGACACTATGAATTCCAATTTGTGTTAAAGCATTTTCATGCCTTTTAAGGCTTGCAGATTGTGCCCGGATAGAGCCGCCGCACTGACCACGGCGTTTGGGAGGACATTGCTGACCATTTCGGCTTGGACGAGCGCATCACTGGAAAGCTACAGGAGGTGCCTCAGTCCGGTGGAATGCGGAAAATGGTCCCAGAGCCGATTCAAAAAGATGCACCGAACTTGACAGTTTGGGATACTGATCCAATATCCATACTGGTTTGGGGTTCCACAGGGTTCATGTCAATATAAAAAAAACAGTAGTATTTGAATATTTTGGCACAGACCGACATCCACCCATGTTTGCTGGTCTTTGGTGGTCAGGCGCTGAACACTCGCCCGGATCCTGGCACGGACTTAGAGGTGGGAGACACATCAAGCGGCCCAAGGCGTAGAGAGAGACACCCCCAGATCCAGGTGTGTAGATAGATGTTTCACAAGCAGACTGTAGGAAAGGTGATTGAAAATAGCGGAAATGTGGCTTCCAGCATTTTCCTTTAGTTTTCCATCCATCCCTTGCCCTTCCCCTAATACGCATTATATGTATATAATATATATATATATATATATTATATAATTGATTTTAATATAAAATATATCCTTGTATATGTATATGCACCCGCTGCAGAAACCGTTGTTTCACATTGGATCTATTCACTGTTCCTCCGCCAGGTCATGTGGGAAATCCTGGATGAAGCGCGCAACCCGCCTGGTCTGACGATGATCAAGGCAGGGGCTCGAGAATCAGTTTGGTGGAAGCGAATGATATCAGTTTTTTTCAATTTCAGGTTAGTGAATTGATGTTGATGTTTCGGCCGGAAGGTAAGTATGTATGTATAATGATTTGTATGTATGGATATATATATATATATAATATTACGAAAGCCAGCCGGGAAGCTGGCTAGTTGTTATTTGTGAACGAAGTGAGAATAGGGGGTCTGGGGGGGGTAGTTGCCTCAAGGGGCCGAAAACGTCGTAAATAGGTGGTGTTTTAGGCGCGGAAAAAACATGGTTTTCAGGGTAATGTACCATGCGGCAAAAAAGAGTGACGGTGGGTATCGATTCCCCCTAGGTCCGGTTTTCTTGGGTAAAAAATCTGAGGGTGCGAAGTCTGTGGGTGAAAAGTCTGTGCAAGAAGAGTTTCTGGGTGAAGAGTCTCTGGGTGAAAAGTATATGGGAGAAAAGTATACGGGGAAAAAGTCTGTGGGTGAGAAGTATATCGTTGATCCGTGTGTCGGTGAAAAGTATATGGGTGAAAAGTATGTGCAAGAAGTGTTTCTGGGTGAAGAGTCTCTGGGTGAAAAGTATGTGCAAGAAGAGTTTCTGGGTGAAGAGTCTCTGGGTGAAAAGTATATGGGTGAAAAGTATGTGCAAGAAGAGTTTCTGGGTGAAGAGTCTCTGGTGAAAAGTATATGGTGAAAAGTATGTGCAGAAGAGTTTCTGGGTGAAGATTCTCTGGGTGAAAAGTATATGGGTGAAAAGTATGTGCAAGAAGAGTTTCTGGGTGAAGAGTCTCTGGATGAAAAGTATATGGGTGAAAAGTATGTGCAAGAAGAGTTTCTGGGTGAAGAGTCTCTGGGTGAAAAGTATGTGCAATAAGAGTTTCTGGGTGAAGAGTCTCTGGGTGAAAGTATATGGGTGAAGAGTATGTGCAAGAAGAGTTTCTGGGTGAAGAGTCTCTGGGTGAAAAGTATATAGGTGAAAAGTATGTGCAAGAAGAGTTTCTGGGTGAAGAGTCTCTGGGTGAAAAGTATATGGGTGAAAAGTATGTGCAAGAAGAGTTTCTGGGTGAAGAGTCTCTGGGTGAAAAGTATATGGGTGAAAAGTATGTGCAAGAAGAGTTTCTGGGGGAAGAGTCTCTGGGTGAAGAGTCTCTGGGTGAAAAGTATATGGGTGAAAAGTATGTGCAAGAAGAGTTTCTGGGTGAAGAGTCTCTGGGTGAAAAGTATGTGCAATAAGAGTTTCTGGGTGAAGAGTCTCTGGGTGACAAGTATATGGGTGAAGAGTATGTGCAAGAAGAGTTTCTGGGTGAAGAGTCTCTGGCTGAAAAGTATATAGGTGAAAAGTATGTGCAAGAAGAGTTTCGGGGGCAAGAATCTCTGGGTGAAAAGTATATGGGTGAAAAGTATATGCAAGAAGAGTTTCTGGGTGAAGAGTCTCTGGGTGAAAAGTATATGGGTGAAAAGTATGTGCAAGAAGAGTTTCTGGGTGAAGAGTCTCTGGGTGAAAAGTTTATGGGTGAAAAGTATGTGCAAGAAGAGTTTCTGGTTGAAGAGTCTCTGGGTGAAAAGTATATGGGTGAAAAGTATGTGCAAGAAGAGTTTCTGGGTGAAGAGTCTCTGGGTGAAAAGTATATGGGTGAAAAACATGTGCACGAAGAGTTTCTGTGTGAAGAGTCTCTGTGTGAAAAGTATATGGGTGAAAAGTATGTGCAAGAAGAGTTTCTGGGTGAAGAGTCTCTGGGTGAAAAGTATATGGGTGAAAAGTAGGTGCAAGAAGAGTCTCTGGGTGAAAGTATATGGGTGAAAAATATGTGCAAGAAAATTTTCTAGGTGAAGAGTCTCTGGGTGAAACGTATATTGGTGAAAAGTATGTGCAAGAAGAGTTTCTGGGTGAAGAGTCTCTGGGTGAAAAGTATATGGGTGAAGAGTATGTGCAAGAAGAGTTTCTGGGTGAAGAGTCTCTGGGTGAAAAGTATATATTTGAAAAGTATGTGCAAGAAGAGTTTCTGGGTGAAGAGTCTCTGGGTGAAAAGTATATGGGTGAAAAGTATATGCAAGAAGAGTTTCTGGGTGAAGAGTCTCTGGGTGAAAAGTATATGGGTGAAAAGTATGTGCAAGAAGAGTTTCTGGGTGAGTCTCTGGGTGAAAAGTATATGGGTGAAAAGTATGTGCAAGAAGAGTTTCTGGGTGAGGAGTCTCTGGGTGAAGAGAATATGGGTGAAAAGTATGTGCAAGAAGAGTTTCTGGGTGAGGAGTCCCTGGGTGAAGAGAATATGGGTGAAAAGTATGTGCAAGAAGAGTTTCTGGGTGAAGAGTCCCTGGGTGAAAAGTATATGGGTGAAAAGTATGTGCAAGAAAAGTTTCTGGGTGAAGAGTCTCTGGGTGAAGAGTATATGGGTGAAAAGTATGTGCAAGAAGAGTTTCTGCGTGAAGAGTCTCTGGGTGACAAGTATTTGGGTGAAAAGTATATGGGGGAAAAGTCTGTGGGTGAAAAATCATTGGGGGAAAGTAGGGTTAGATGGGATGCTGGCTTTCGTTCCACCCTTCTCTGGTATATATATATATTGCTCAATGTTTGTTTGATATTACTTATGCAACTTTCATCCTTTCTTCTGAGGTGAAGGAGATGTTGGATGGGACTTTTCGAATGGGCGAACAGAAAGATGCCCGGGGCCTGATGGAGTCAATGAGTCAATGACTCGGTCAATGATGGGTTGAACTTCGAACATTGTGAACAGCTCTTGGTTTAGATGCATTTCTGGCGATGCTCGAGAACTTTGAACATGGATTTCGTGCATGAGCTTCTCTTTCTGACCAGTGGGGAAGGATGACAAAGGGTCGGTGAAGCAGATTTTACAATCACCAAACATAATAGGCGGCTGATCTTCAGCTAAAAGCAACGCAAGTATCGAGCCAGCATGCTTCCAGGCTTGCTTGAGCTGTCGCTGTTTTCTGAAAAGTCAAAGGTCCAATGCGAGGAGGATTGGCAATGAAGGAGGGACGCACACAAACATACACTATACTATACTAGGTTATACACGTACAATAACACGCACCCACACACACACACATATATATATATACGTAAATAAATAACCTAATGAATAAACAGATAAGTAAATAAGTCAACAAACACGCACGCTCTCACGCACACACAGATAGATAGATGGATGGATGGATGGATGGATGGATAGATAGGTAGGTAGGTAGGTAGATAGGTAGATAGATAGGTAGATAGATAGATAGGCAGATAGATAGGTAGGTAGATAGATAGATGGATAGATATTTTACACATGAATGTGCAGGTAATGAAAGAGATATGCTCTCAACAGCCTGAAGCCCCATAGACTCAGACAAGAAGAACTCTTGTTGCAACATGTCTCGGCCGCATGTGGCCGAACGCTATGCCGAGTGCCCTTTGTGCTTCAAGCCCTTGCATTTGGGCCCAGTGGCCTCTCGGACTGATACATTCCTGATGGGTCGCAAGCAATCATTTTCCCCCTGAACGATATGAAATACCACCAGAAATCCCATGTTGGAAGTATTCTATAAATTAGGGGATGGGATTGGAACAGTTAGGTGTCCTTAGGATTCACTTGCGCACATGTCATGAGCTCCACAGTATGACGGCAACATTTTACGACAACATTTTACGACCAAAAAGACCGAAGGTACGCACAGGTTGGGACAGTGAATGGTGCCGCCAAGTTCTCCCCAAATTCTTGGCTTTAAGGGTGCTGGTGAGCGCTTGGTGTTACTTTCTTAGAAGCACTGACACCTTGTTCCTTTACTGTTAGCGGTGGCTCATACCCAAATACGTCATCATGTATCGCCAAGCCATGAATCGTCCAAAGAAGGATAGTCACCAATCAGCAATCAGTGGAATTATTATCAACCCAGAATTTGGTAAGATTTGTTTTCCTTCCTTTCTTGGATCTCTTTTTACAGAAACCTAATGTGGATTCATCATACAGTCATACATGATTCCCTTAACCATAGATCATGAACTTCACAGACATGGGGAGATTCCCGGCTCCGGAACGAACCACGACTGGCACCAGCTACACCAGCCATCAGGGTGTCTTCCTGGACGCCAGCGGCAAGCGCGTGGGTGGCTTCTACCGCCTGCAGGCTGCCAGGGCCTTCCTGGAGAGCGGCGATGACCGCCGTTGCCCAGTGACTGGCCAGCCCATCGCCAGCGTCAAGGAGGTGCCCAGTATCCTGGAGGACCTGGAAGCTGCAAAAGATTGGACACATTTGTACAAGTATTTTGATGGCCAGAGACGAGTATAAGTGTATTCACTGTATTCACGAAAGCTAGCTTCTGCTGGCTTAAGCCCCTCTGGCTGGAATCTCCAAGCGCTTGAAACTTCATAGTTCACTACCCCCCTCCCCTCCCCACTGGCTGGCTGGTGCACAAGCAGTTTGGCCGTGGCTCAATCCCCTCGAAGACACTGTCGGCATGTCGCCACCATTCGCCACCGGCAGCAAAATCGTCAATAGCGCATGCTTCAGGTCACTGGTGCAGCGTCGCTCGCTATTGGCATGTTCATGGCTAGCCGTAAAACGTATATAGCTTCATTTTCATTTTGAACCTTCACATGTAGTTCCCATTCAGTTCTCACAATGGCAAGCTTGTCTTGTCTTGGACATAATAATATTCCTTCATACAGATGAGTTTGCAAAGATCCTTCTGGAGCAATTGCACTGGCATGCTTCCGTTTTTTGTCCTCGTGAGATCCTACCTAGCCGCGCTTCCAACACCTTCTTCTCTTGCAACTTCTAAGCCTTGAAAGGCCCACTCCGATACTGAAGGTGTGGATCCTTGAATCTTCTTCCTTTTTAGTGACCACCAGGCTACTGAATAGGAGTTTCCTCATCATGTTGACGCGCGTGATATACATATTCTCTTCATATGTGACATCGATTCCCCCTTCAATGTGTCGCGTTCATTCTGTACCAAAATATGGACAGCCTCATCTTGGACATAATAATATCCCTTTATACAGATGAGTTTGCGAGCCTTACCCCTGGGCCTCAAGTTGATTGTATTTGATTGTATTTCTCTCGCTATTCAGATCTGCACACAAGAAAATTCAGACACACAGAATATAACTAAATAAACAGATAGATAAACAATTTGAGAACCAAAAAGCACAACAAATAAAGACGAACAAATAGATAAACAAAAACAAATTCCGTGTAGATACCGGCCGCAAACAGTTGGAAATACGTGGGACGGCTGCAAACTCTTGGGGCCCAATAAGATTTTTCAGACTTGTGCACCTGAGTTGCTAGAAAAAGGGGCCTTAAGGCCTTCAACTTTCACAGATGCCGTTTGTTGTTTCCACATGTTTCCACTGGTTCGTTGGCCGAGGACCCCAAAACCTGGTTCCGTGTGTGTGACGTGGACCGGGATCGGCGCCTGAGTCGGGATGAAGTCATCAGTGCCTTGAAAGCGCAACTTCCTTTGGAGCCTCGGAATGCGCCATAGCTTCACTCTGGAAAGCAATGGAGTTTTCCCATGGTAAACCAATGTCGAAACAAAGACCTTGTTACATGTTAAGGGATTTTGCACTCCAAACATGCAATGTGCTGTTTGCACAGCACTGTAAGATCTGTAAGGACAATGACGCCATCGAGAGGTTTCGAACGGACGATTCAGCATGGCGGACTTGGGACACAGATGGGTCCCTTGGATTGCACTGGTTGTTTCACATTTTTCCCGAATGCGTAGCAAGGGTTCCCGTTTCACTCTGGGGGTCTGGGGGTTGAGGGTGTGTTCGCTCGACGTTGCGTTCGCGAGCGCAACCGTTCGCAACCGTCCGCAACCGTCCGCGCGAGGACCATATGGCCGTGCCTATGGGAAGTTCTGCAGAGGTGGTAATTTTTGGAGGTTTCAGACGTGTCGTTGCTTCGTTTCGCGTGGCAGGCGTGGCACTTCGTGACATTCAGACATGTTTTGCAACGTGTTGAAAATCGTTTTGCGTGGCAGGCGCAATACTTTTGCGACGTTTTCAGAAGATGTGTTGCAGTTTTCGTGGCAGGCGCAGCTTTTTGGGCGTGTCCATCGTCATTTTTCGTGGCAGGCGCAGCACTTTAGACGTGTCGTGTTGCGGGTTTTTTGTAAATCGCATTGGCAGGGCTGCGTCAAGTGGCGACAAGGTGCAAATTTCGTGGCAGGCGTGGCATTTTGTGACATGTACTGAAAATTGACGGAAGCCTCGCACGAAAAATCGATTTTGAGGTTGCAAATTTTCAGGTTCTAAGGAAAACTCGTAGGAAAACGTCGATTTTGAAGCTGCAAAGTGTCAAAATTGGAGGAAGTCTCGCACGAAATGCTCGTTTTGGTGCTCCCACGTGTCTCGTCTCGAGTCTCTGGTTTTCCCGTGGCTTCGCCGTGTCTATGGGGGAAGCCGCAAAACCTCTCCTTTTCAAAGGTTTCCAAGGAAGTTGTCATGTCGTTTTGCTTGGCAGGCGTGGCACTTTGTGACATTCCAACCTGTTTGATAATGTGTCAAAAATGTCAAATTTGGAGGAAGTCTCGTACGAAATGCTGGTTTTTCTGCATCCACGTGTTTTGTCTCGAGTCGCTGGTTTTCCTGTGGCGTCGCCGTGTCTATGGGGGAAGCTGGAAAACATGTCCTTTTCGAATGTTTCCAAGCAGGTTGTCATGTCGTTTTGCGTGGCAGGCGTGGCACTTTGTGACATTCCAACCTGTTTGATAACGTGTCGAAAATGTCAAAATTGGAGGAAGTCTCGCACGAAATGCTCGTTTCTCTGCACCCACGTCTCGTCTCGAGCCTCTGGTTTTCCTGTGGCGTCGCCGTGTCTATGGGAGAAGCTCCTTTACACTCCACACTCCACAATTTACACTTTAGACCCCGCACTCTACACTTTACACTCCACACTTTACACTTTGCACTTTACACTCCTCACTCCTCACCTGAGACTTTACACTCCACACTCCACACTCCACACTTTACACTACACTCTACACTTTCCACTCCTCACTACTCACTCTACACATTTTACACTCCACACTCTACACTTTACACTCCACACTCCACACTTTACACTACACACTCCTTACTTTACACTCCACACTTCACACTCCACACTTTCCACTCCACACTCCACACTCCACACTTTACACTTTACACTCTACACTTTACACTCTACACTTTACACTCTACACTCCACACTCTACACTTTACACTCTACACTCCACACTTTACATTTTACACTCTACACTTTACACTCTACACTCCACACTCTACACTTTACACTCTACACTCCACACTTTACATTTTACACTCCACACTCTGCACACCACACTCTACACTTTCCACTCCACATTTCGCACTCCACAGTTTACACTCCACACTTTACACTTTACACTTTACACTCCTCACTCCACACTCTACACTCCACACTCCCCACTTTACACACCACACTCCACACTCTACACTTTCCACCCCACACTCCGCACTCCACACTCCACACTTTACTGTGCACTCCACACTCCACACTTTATACTTTACACTCCTCACTCTACACTCCACACTTTACACTTTACACTCCACGCTTTCCACTTTACACTCCTCACTCCACACTTTACACTCCACACTTTACACTCCACACTCCACACTTTACACTCCACACTTTACACTCCACACTCTACGCTTTACACTCTACACTATACACTCTACACTCCACACTTTACACTTTACACTCCACGCTTTCCACTTTACACTCCTCACTCCACACTTTACACTCCACACTTTAGACTCCACACTCTACACTTTACACTCCATACTGATACTCCACACTCTACACTTTATACTCCGCATTCTACACTTTACACACTCTACACTCCCCACTCCACACTTTACACTCCACACTCCTTACTTCACACTCCACACTCCACACTCTACACTTTCCACCCCACACTGCAGACTGGTAACAAGGGAAACATGTACAAGACTGTTCAAATATAAACTATTGCAGAAAGGTATTGTGCGTGACTGCATAACCATGTGTTTTGACATCTGTACCATTAACATACGTGTGAGCATTCGGGTTCGTGGGCTTCATCTTGTTTAAAAGCTGGCTCGTGTCCAAGTAGTGAGGCTTTGCTGCACAAGATCTTCGGTGGTCTTTGCTGAAAATTGCAAGTCCAGCCAATTCCATCATTGCAAAGGAGTTTGCACGAAACAAACAAAACAACCTAATCTCTCATCTCTCATTGAACTTCCACAGGAGTGGCTTCATTGAATACGTGGAGATCATGGATGAAGAGAAGGGCCTGCTGAAATTCATCCGCGACACTTTTCTGAAGGCGGAGGCTGAGAGGCCAGTGCCGGACCTACGCAAGGACCGCGACGGATGGTACAGGCAGCCTGGGAAAACTAGCTTTCTGAGTAGATGTTAGCGACTGATTGTGAAATTTGTAGAGCTCCCCAGCTTGCCGTTTCAATGCCCCGACTGCTTTTGTTTTTGGCTTGGTGCTCTGCCTTTAGGCGATGGGATGAAGATGGGAGCGGTGAACTGGAATTTGAGGAGCAGCGGCGGGCCATGTGAGAAGTTGAAACCAGCTGGGTAGAGATGAAACATGGATGTGGGGGAGCGGAAGAATTAATCAGCTCCATATGATATTCATGCACATTTACTGACTGCGCATTTCTGCCTGTTTATGCATGCGCACATCATCCGTCTAGATAATGATTCACACGCACTTCTCATGCCCAGTGTTGACACGTTTTGACCAGGAGGTGGTGCGCGCCTTCGCGAAGAGTTTCCATGTGGACGTGGAGGGCATCGCCGGGCTGCGCGAGAACCTGCGCGACGTTTGGTGTGTTTTCGACACGGACAACAGTGGAGCTATCGATCGGCAGGAGTTCATGCTTCCCAATGATGGTTTGGCTGATACGGTGCTGGCCACCATGCACTTTCTGAGAAAAGGATGAGAAAACTGAGCAAATCAAAGAAAAAGGTGATCTTTTGACTTCGCGGCGGGGTTGTGGGTGATTCGTTGAAGCTTGGCATGACGAGTGGAGAAGGGTGAGGGGGGTGCAATGTGATTTTCAGGTGCAGACGATGGTTAATTGAGTGAACTAATGCTCATGCCTGTTTGCTTCAGCCCCTCAGTGTGCGGAAAACCAAGGAACCACCAATGGACAGAGCTTCCTGCTTTGCGACGGAGAAAAACGCAAAAATAAAAGTCACACAGATTTGCCTGTGTGTGGGTTTGCTTGGTGGTTTCTCTCCATGTTCTGGCTAAGTTTGATGGAAGAAACCTCCATGTCCAGAAGTTGGACTGGTACCCACACCCCAAGCAAACATAGCCGTTTTGGGAGGCTGGGATTTTTCATTGAACAGTGACACTTGCTACCAACCATGGCCATGGCCATATGAGTTCGGCGTAGGAGGAAATGCATTCACCAGGGCAGGATCAAGCAGCACAGCCTGACAACCCTCCAAGCACTGCGGATGAGGCGGGAGTGGAGGTGTTGAAGGACAAGTTCAAGCTTGATGAGCGAGCAGCTTACAAGCTCTCTGAGGTTTCTTGGCCATGGTTCTGTTTGGCTGACTGGCGGCTTTCTGGCACATATGACGCTGTGATTTTGCTGATTCATGTCAGTCCATTTCCATGATTATGATGATATTTGTGATGGTGATTATATGATTATGGCAATGATTGTGCTAATAGTTTTGCTGAGGATGATGGTGATGAGATGGATCATTTCTGCTCCCCCCGCAATGCCAGGTCCTGTCCACCAAGCCCAACAAGCCGCTTGGCTCCCGTCGCTTGGGGGGGCCGTCCATGCTGCCTTGGTTGGGCATTCTTGGTGTCAAGGAGAGATGTGCTGAAGGCTTTGGACATCCATTTGGCAGTGGTGAACTCAGTGTAAATCCACTTGGCAGTCCCACGAAGTGCCACAGAGCAGCCGGGAGATATCAGAAGATCTTCCGGTTGACTCTGTTTGGTGGGTCAGTTGATACTTATTGGGCGACCATGGGGCGACCCTAAAGGTTGGGAACCGGGGGGCAGAGTGCAGCGCTGGAAAACTATGGAAAACTGCTAGGCCTCGAACAACCCCTCGGCGCTGGTCATGCTGAAGCGCCGCTCTCGTGACACGAACATGAATCACACTTTAAACGAGTTGAACATCAAAAACCTGGGTCATTTTCTGCAAAGTGCGATCACATGTTTCTAGGATATCCAACCTTGACTCATATGACTCGCACCAAGTAGCCATGTCTTGGAAGCTGATGAGCTTAGAGCACTCTGCCTTGAAGAGCTGAGGCTGGCAGACCTCAGAAGAGATGTGCCTTTGGGCGAGGTGATGCTGGGGGCTGGTCATGTCAGCCATGCTGGTGGCCTGCATTATTCGGCCCCAAGTTGCTACAATTTAAGATATCATGGTGAAGGTCTTACAGTTTAATCTTGGCATGCAGGGGTTTCCCTATCCAAATCTATCCTTCTCAGACTATGCTAAATTTGCATCCCTGGTCCACGCACTGATTTCATGCCAGTCCTGTTCTGCCGCTAGCGCCAGGTGCCATATGGTACCAAGGGCTACCGAGATCGCCCGGAGTCTCAATGGAACCGAAGAGATAGGAAACCACCACATTGCAACCTCAAGGTTGATCGGTGATTTCGGTGTTGTTCTTCCCCCTCCGATTGGATCCTTGGATCCAGATGAAGTCCCATTTTTTGGACATCAACTTTCATGATGAGCTCCAGTCCAGATGGTTCGACGCCGAAAGCCTCTGAGGGCCCTACTTGGGCAACTACGACCGCGATGGCCGCCGCATCGGCCGTGGGGAGCGTGGCGAGGATCGCCGCGGCGAGGATCGTCGCGGAGAGCCGCAGGCGAGGTGTTACATACATACATACATACATACATACATACATAACAATACATAACAATACATAACAATACATAACAATACATAACAATACATAACAATACATAACAATACATAACAATACATAACAATACATAACAATACATAACAATACATAACAATACATAACAATACATAACAATACATACATATACATACATATACATACATATACATACATATACATACATATACATAACAATACATAACAATTACCTAACCATACATAACAAGACATAACAATAAATAACAATACATACATACATAACAATACATAACACTACATAACAATACATAACAATACATAACAATACATAACAATACCTAACAATACATAAACAAACATACATACATATACATACATATACATACATATACATACATATACATACATATACATACATATACATACATATCCATACATATCCATACATATACATACATAAACATACATATACATACATATACATACATATACATACATATACATACATATACATACATATACATACATATACATACATATACATACATATACATACATATACATACATATACATACATATACATACATATACATACATATACATACATATACATACCAATACATACCAATACATACCAATACATACCAATACATACCAATACATACCAATACATACCAATACATACCAATACATACCAATACATACCAATACATACCAATACATACCAATACATACCAATACACACCAATACACACCAATACACACCAATACACACCAATACACACCAATACACACCAATACATACCAATACACACCAATACATACATACATACATACATACATACATATATACATACATACATACATACATACATACATACATACATACATACATACATGTACATACTTGCACCTACTTGCACCTACTTGCACATACTTGTACATACTTGTACATACTTGTACATACTTGTACATACTTGTACATACTTGTACATACTTGTACATACTTGTACATACTTGTACATACTTGTACATACTTGTACATACTTGTACATACATACATGCATACATGCATACCAATACATACCAATACATACCAATACATACCAATACATACCAATACATACCAATACATACCAATACATACCAATACATAACAATACATAACAATACATAACAAGACATAACAAGACATAACAAAACATAACAAGACATAACAAGACATAACAAGACATAACAATACATAACAATACATAACAATACATAACAATACAGAACAATACATGACAATACAGAACAATACAGAACAATACATGACAATACATAACAATACATAACAGAACGCAACTATACAAAACAATACATAACAACACAAAACAATACATAAGAATACATATATGTACATACATACATAACAATACATATATACATACGTAACAATACATGACAATACATAACAATACATGACAATACATGACAATACAGGACAATACATGACAATACATGACAATACATGACAATACACGACAATACACGACAATACACGACTACACGACAATACACGACGATACACGACAATACACGACAATACACGACTACACGACCATACACGACAATACACGACAATACACGACAATACACGACAATACACGACAATACCTGGCAATACGTGACAATACGTGACAATACGTGACAATACGTGACAATACATGACAATACATGACAATACATGACAATACATGACAATACATGACAATACATGACAATACATGACAATACATGACAATACATGACAATACATGGCAATACATGACAATACATGACAATACATGACAATACATGACAATACATGACAATACATGACAATACATGACAATACATGACAATACATGACAATACATGACAATACATGAGAAGACATACCAATACATATCCATACATACCAATACATACCAATACAAACCAATACATACACATACATACCAATACATACCAATACATACCAATACATACCAATGCATACATACATACATACGTACGTACGTACGTACATACATACATACATACATATTTAAGATACAGAGATATAACAATACATACATACCCATAAAACAATACATACATATATAACCATACATACATACATAGATATAAAACAATACATACATACATACATATACAACAATACATTCATACATAACAATACACATAAAACAATACACACATATAGAACAATACATACATACTTACACATAAAATATATGACAATACATGCATACAAATATAATCTAACAATTTATACATACATAACAAAAAATACACACACACATATATAACAATACATACATTTATAAGATATAACACTACATGCATACATGCATACATACATGCATGCATGCATACATCGATACATTACAATACATACATGCATACATAACAATACATACATACATACATACATACATACATATGTACATACATACATACATACATACATACATACATACATACATACATACATAACAATACATACATACATACATACATACATACATACATACATACATAACAATACATAACAATACATAACAATACATAACAATACATAACAATACAAAACAATACATAACAATACATAACAATACATAACAATACATAACAATACATAACAATACATAACAATACATAACAATACATAACAATACATAACAATACAGAACAATACATAACAATACACATACATACATACATACATACATGACAATACATAACAATACATAACAATACATAACAATACATGACAATACATGACAATACATAACAATACATAACAATACATAACAATACATAACAATACATAACAATACATACGTACACACACATACATACATAAATACATACAT